CTGAACTACATAGAGAGAGTCTGTCTCTAAATAAATAAATACATGTTGTTTCTGAACTACATAGAGAGAGTCTGTCTCTAAATAAATAAATACATATACAAGCTGGGTGTGGTGGCGCACGCCTGTAATCCTAGCATTTCAGAGGCTGAGGCAGGAGAACTGCCACAAGTTTGAGATCAGCCTGGGCTACATAGTGAGGTTTATTCTTTTTCTCTTTCTCTCTTTCTCTCTTTTTTTCTTCCTGTTAATGGGGATTCAACCCAGGGCCTCATGCATGCAGGGCAACTGTTCCACCACTGAAGGATATCCCAGCCTCTTTTTTTGGCGGGGTTTTTGAGACAGGTCTTGCTGTAGCCAAAGCTGGCCTCACATTTGTGGCAATCTTCCTGCCTCAGCCTCCTGAGTGCTGGGATTACAGGAGTGTGCCACCATGAATGGCCTCCAGCCTCTTTATTTTGAGGCAGGGTTTTGCTAAGTTGCCTAGGCCGACCTTGCACTTGAAATCCTCCAGCCGCCTAAGTAGCTGGGCTTACAGGCATGCCTGGCTTTGGGGGTGCTTGCTACTTTCCGTTACTAAAGGCAGCTCACATTTCAGCCCCCTAACTAGCACCCCCAGCCGGTTTCCCCTCATCCCCTCCTCCTTCCGTGTGTGGCAAAGCCCGTACTGCCGCTGGTCTGCAGCCTCAGTTGCTTGGATTTGCATCTCGGTTCCAGCTCCCCGGGGGGCCGGGTTTAGGGCTCCAATCTCCAACCCTGTCCAGCTTCTCCCTGCACCCGGGCTCAGTGTGCAGAGACCCAAGCAACCCTGCTCCCAGGACAGGGAAACCCCTCCTCAGGCCTTCTGTGCTACCTCTGAGTGGGGATCCTTAAACGCTCTTCTCAGCGAGAACTTTCTGACCTTTGTCCTTGTTATTCTCTACCATTGTGTCCCCTTGGTTTTCTTTTTCTTTCTTCCTTTTTTTTGTTGTTTGCAATAAGTTATCACTTTGTAGCCCAGGCTGACCTCCAGCTTTCTACCCTCCTGCCTCAGCTTCCCTAGTGCTGGGACACCCAGCCCTTTGATTTTCTTCTCCGCATCTACCACAAGAAAGACCATCACTTTTCTTTTTTTTTTTTTTT